TAGCAAGATTAGAATTCAGACTATCTAGCCCTTGAGGTGGCACTATTAGTTAACTCTACAATGCTACAAAATTGCCAAGCATTAGCAGTATAGTGTATTTTAAGTATTTATCTTAGTTTCTAAAGGGCACAGATATCAGTTTAAAGACAGGTTCCAGTCTGGGTGTTAGAAAGCTACTTTGCATTTGATTCTGTTGATTGAGTTAATATAAGCATTTACTGAGCATCTGGTTGTTTAAGAGAATATCACGGACATTTCAGGAGAGACAAAGATGAATAAAACATGGTTCCACCTTTGAGGAGCTTAAAATCCAGATATTCACTGTCTTTACCAATCTCTTGAATGAAGCCAAGAGGCAGATTAAACTGGCAAAGGATTTAAAATAATTCAAATTCAAAAAACTCCGAATAGTTTCACTTATATTCTGAAATTACTAAGTGTTGCAGGGATAAATGTATTTTGCATCATATTCAAAACCAAGTGCAAAGATACATGACTGAAAATCTGTTTTTGTAGCAGCTTTTGTATCTAGAGGTTTTAGATTAACCTCAGGACTAAAGTGCTGTTCAAATTTTTGATGTGCTCTTAGTTATTGTAATAAAACTAACACACCAGAATGAGCATTCCTTTTTGTTTTTGTTTTTCCTAGAAGCTCTATACTGGTCAGCCATCTCAGCAGTATTCTTTTCATTTCAGGCTGTAACATTTTAAAAGGAGCATTGAAAAATGCAACTGGGATACATGGAAAAGGATAACTAAACCAAGTCATGTGAAGAATGGCTGAAGGCATTGAGGATGTTTAGCCCGGACAAGGAAGACTCAGAGAGTATACGGGATCAGATTCCAAAATACTTGAAGGGTTGTCATGTGGGGAAGGAGTCAACTTCTGAGCTGCTCCAAAAGGTAAAACTAGCACAAATGACGCAAAGTCAGACAGAGGTTATCTCAGGTTAGCAAAAGAAAGTTTGAATGCTGAGCTATTAAAAAATGGATTACGTGACCATGTGAGATAGAGGAAGGGCTTCGAGAGAAGATGTGAGGACAACTTGGGGTGGGCTGCTGAACTGCATCACATTGAAAGCATCCTCCAAAATCAAAGTTCCATGATTTATGATTTATGATTCCATAACAGAAGTAATTCCCTAAATGTTTGTAACACACACACAGTAAAATCATATTTTCCTGAAATATGTGAAATTTGGGGGATTGTAATTAACATATGAGGAGCAATTAGAAGTACAAGAAGTAGTGATATTTAGGTCATGACAAGAGAAGAAATACGTGGCCTTTGTGCACGGAAAGCCCAAGAACAATGGGCATAGGCCCTGGGAATCCACTCCACGGGAAACAGAGGACTGTTTTGGTATAAAAAAGTGAACAGAGAAAGAATACAAGGTTAACACTGGATGCAACTTTAAATCCTTCAGCACAGTGCCTAGCAGCCATAAAAAAGCAAACAGAAGTCTGCAAACCCTTTCCAGAGGCGATGAATAGAAACAGAACAAATCACTCTCACCTAGATAAATGCTACATCCCTGTACTGCTTTGCTGACCACAGACTTCCTCTGCAAAGGGCATTAAAGCCATCGGGAAGGGGAAGAAAAGGCACCCAGAATGAGGGCAAAAAATTCTGGTGCATAGCTTTGAGCTAATTTACACAAAACAAGTTAATGTAATTGGCAAATGGATACTTAGAGATGGAATATTTAAAGAAAATCCCTCTACAAGAGGCCAAGGAGACAGTGAAAGAGACTGCTCTAGGCTTGTTGAATACAGGAAAAAAATGAAGAGAAAAGATTGACGTTGTAATCCAAACAGAGCTCCGTGGAGAGGCAAGAAGAATTAAGAGAACAGGTCTTTGCCCAGACGATGAAAGACCCAGCTAAAATCCTAGCCACACCATGCAATTTATTAAAAGTTGTTTCTTCCCCCGTAACCAACCAGCTTCCACTAGTCTCTAGCGTTCTTTCTGACTTATTTCATTAACATTTCCTTCTTTTTCTGGAGCAGTCAGGGCCCCAGGGAATCTTTCTTTTTCCCCACCTCACCCCCACCAATGGGGCATTGAATGAGAGCCAGGGTGTTGTCTGTGAAAAGAGAAATTGCAAAACCACAAATTGCAGAAAATGGTTACTGCCAAAAATCGAAAGGAACACACGATATCACCATGCCTCTTAAAAAGCAATTGCGCATTTTACAGGCCTCTGGATAGTTCAGGTTTGTTTGGCAACTTTCTCACCCATACCACCCAGAAGATAATTCTCTTCCACCAGAGGCAGTGGTCCTAAAGAATATGAGAAGTTGAAAAGAAACAAAAGAATGTGGGCACAAGTCTTTCCAGAGCACTGACCTGGCCCAATAGTGTTCTATTTTCTTCTATTGTGTGGTATTAATTTGAAAGCCCAAAGCTTGCCACCAGAATCCCAAAGACTCCCACTAAAACAGGGAGGGTCTCCAATAATTTAATAAGATTATTGGTAATACAAAGCATTTTTAGATGGTAGAATTTTTCCAAAACATTATGTTATGTGATTATCACAACAACCCTTTGAAGAGGTCAGGAAAAATGTCTTCCTTCCTCTCTCCTTCCCTAAAAAGATACTTTGAAACTGAGGGGTTAAGTAACATACTCCAAATCATACTACTGAAGGAGTGAACTGGGACTTAGCCATTAGCCTTTTGATTTTTGCTCCTGAGTTCCTTCCACCGCCCAGCCTTATTCCTCTATGGGGGCATATTTTCCTGACTTGGCTGAGGCTGTCCTCCATCCGTGGGTTGGGATTTTATGTGTTGCATATACATTTGCAGGACCTTCACTTGGAAAGTCTCCTGCCATTCACTATAGATGTAAGCCATGTCTGAATGGAACGTTGATTAGGTCGTTTTCCATTTGCATTGGTTGAATAATACAATCATCATGAGGACAAAATGTCAACTCCAGAGGGGCTGATTCCACGTAGCTGCCAAAAGGAACCCAGGTCAAGACTGCCTGGTGATTTTAATGTGTTTCTGTGACTCCGTGGGTCAGACCAGCCTTTCCCTAGTTGCTCAGAGATTGCTTGGGGAGCCGGGTAGACCCATTTTGTCTGGATTGTGTATAATTCCAGTGCAAGCTTCCTTCTTCTCAAAATACTTACTAATGAAACATACAGGGTCACTAAGCACCCTGTATGTTTCTAAGAAAAAAAAATACGAAAAGAAAGCAAACAATCACAAGTTGAGACCTCTAAGGTAAAATAGCCACTTTCCACCCTCTTTTTTTATTTTTATTTTTTTCAGTCTGAAAGATAAAGGGCACTTTCAACTGAAATTTTGATGAAGAGATCCTAGGGTAACACGTAGGTGTTTAAATTTACGTATAGTGACTTAAAATGCTGCCTTAAATTGCCCTTCATCAAATTTTCACGATTAATATACACCAAGTATCTTTCGGTATCTAACATTAACTCATTTAAAATACGAGTAAAACCTAAATAGGCAGTAACAGTATGGTAAAGAGCTACCAAATATGAATATGCAAGAAAGTAAACATAGGCAATTTCCCCTGAACAGCTTTCTGTGTTCAAAAGAAAGAATACAGTCAAAAGTTAACATTTGTACAAACAATACACTCATGATAGCACATGAAAAGGAGACTACTCATAAAATCTAACATGACTTTCTTGGTAAAAGCTGCTTAAAACATTCATAGCATGCAGGTGTCTTGATAATGCAATAAAGACTAAAGCAAGATAATACAGAGATTGACATTTAAAAAAATTTCAGTGAATGCGTAATATGTTGACATTAAATCTGAATGTTTTGAAGGTGAATGTCTTTTGTGCTAACGCTTGAATATTTGATGTATAGCAGTGGGATCAATTTATTCTAGAAAGCAAACAAAAAACTATCATCCAGGGAAATCAGTAAAAACTAAGTTTTTCCTGCAGTTCAGCTGAACACATAATCTTCTCAGGGACTGAATGATTCAAAAGAGAATTTATTAGAACATGTATAAGATATACAATTTAACTGTGCTCTTTGGTTTCTGATAGGTACTAGAATGTCTAATTAAATGCTTCAGTGACTACTGAGATGCATTCTCTGCTGGAAATTCTGTATGAATTAGAAGCTGAGAGTTGATGTAGCCTCCATGAGTTGATGTAGCCTCCATGAGGGTACATGACTCAACCATCTACCTTAGAGTTGTTGAGTACTTGCTTAGTGACAAGCAACTTACACATTTTGAGGTTGTTTTGAACAGCTAGGGTCTTTACATTACAGCTAAATCTACCTCCTGCTTGTGGACATTGGATATTATTAAATTACCCCAGAGACATATGAAACTTTCTTTTGTTCCTTTGTTAAAATTATTCTTACCTTCATTTCATTAAAAAAGAAAAAAAAATCACCCTAATTCCAAAGACAAAACTCAGGAACTCCCAGTTCAGATCTGCTATAATTTTATTTGGTCTTTCAGAATAGAGGGGATTTGTAATTTAGGTATAGACACTGGAAGTACTAAGAATAAAGAAACATAATACACAGGAGATTAGTTCTGGAGAGAATACTGGTTTACAGAGTGGCCATAACGCAGTACATACAGGAAGGAATTATTAAGGTTACTACCATGCTGTTAAACAAGAAACAGTCTGTGACTACATGGTGAGGAGCAAATGGAAAAAGAATAATAAATTAGTCATTTAAGAGAACTGAATATTTAAATGTTTAGTGTCACATGGTCATAATATATAAATGAACATTGCCTATTTTTTTATTCCTCACTTTTATCTAGCTTTAGATGCAATATTGTCACAACCACAATTAGGCTGCATCTGCTTCCAAAATGGTTTCTGAAATGCTCCATGGTGTTATACAAATCAATAGTATGAAATGTTAGATTGGCTGTGTGTGTTGAGCCAGACTTTAAAAATGCAGCAATGTGAGATGGGAGCCTTAAAGATTAGGAGGCTTAGGAATTACAGCTGAGAAGTAGATACCATTTCAAGGAGGAAACGTACTTACATTTTGCTGCAAGTAAAATGCCTGTCTTTAAACAGTAGCCTCTGAAACAAAGAAAGAAAAAAAGAATGTTAAAAAATTATACAGCAATTAATTCAAAATGAAAAAGGAGTCACATTTGAAGCCACTGACTGAAAAAAAAAAGAGAGAGAGAAGCCTAGCCTACAGAAGAATATATATTTATGGGGAGACTTTTCTTGGGGATACAGGAGGCTGTAGCTCAGAAAGAAAACATTTATGCTAGCTGCTGTATCTCATCACATGCTCTGCTCCCTGCTCCTGAATATCCTAGAATTTCAAGACTACTTGACGCTTGCTTTGTCTCCCAGGTCCAATCTTGGAGACAGAAAACATGGTAAGTCTGGCTGGCTCATTCAATGGCTTAGACGCTCATCACTCTCTTGCTTCTGGTTCACACTGACATTGTACCTTGCTCTTGTTGGCCAAGTTCTGACACATTGTTCCTTTAAATGAAACTTCTCCTAAAGATATGGTTTTCTCAATTCATACTTATTAGGATAAATGGACAGTTTTCTTTTCCAAGAAATAGAAAGCTTTTGTGGGAGATGCGAGGAGGGGGATTGAAACCAAAGCCAAGTTTCTCTTTATTCAAGCTGTTGGTGAAAGGGGAGGGACAAATAGACTGTGCCTATGCTTGGAAGGCCAATTGTGCAGGCAATTTGTTCAGTGTGGCAGCCCACCAGACAATTCAGCTTGCTTCCAAATCCATAATTTATTGAACCTATTGTGGTTATATTGAAAGGGGTACTTTTTAGTGCAGTAGGTTTAATAGGAAATGGCAGGAAAGTCCCTATGATTGATATGAACTATTTGCATTCTGAGATTCAAGTGATTCCAGATCATCCCTAAGAGTAAGCCCTCAAATTGTGGTGTCCTCATACCTACAGGAAGATCTTTCCACACCACCCACAGTGATCTGGATAGGTCAGATTAGTTACTTCAGTGGACCAATGTTTTTCCAAGCTCTGCCATTTCTTAATAATAGTGTGATTTGGGCAAATTGGCTCAATGCTCTAAAATTGATAGAAATATTACTAGTGGCTATTTCAAAGAATTGCCATAAGGGTTAAATAAAATTATATATATAAAATAGTTAGATAAAGTCCTCCTCATGTCAATGTGCTCCAGAAGCAAGAAAAGGATGAAAGTCTTAAGCCATTGAACTAGCCAACCAGACTTACCATATTTCCTCTCTCCAGCACTACCTGGTGTTATTACTGTTGTTGTTATTATTATCAGCAGACCAAGTTGTAAAACCAAATTAAGAATATACAATAAATCCATGAAATGGGAGCTGGGAAGGTAGCTATGGAGGTCTCGCTTGGGTATCCATTTATGACAGTCAAAGCTGCACCCTTGTCCCAAATTCCTCTTCCAGATTGTTTTTCTCCAATTTTCATTCCTCCAACTACTCAATATCTCCAGTCAATATCCTTATTAAAAAATCCCTACCTGTTTTAGCAAGCCACCTAATTCCTCATTTACTATCTGTGAAGATGGTTAGGAGGGGGGCTTATTGATCGACAAATTGTTAAATTATTAAATTTCTGGGCCCACAAATAATACAGATAATTCCTCTTTATACAGGTAAGAGGTTGATACATTTTTATTGGACTGAATTTCTCAGATTCTATAGTTTGACCCAACAAGGTCTCACATGTGTCACTAACTGGAAGAAGTTATTATTAGTTGTTAGTTATTATTCTATAGTTTCGGAGCCAACAAGATCTCACATGTGGCACTAACTGGAACGCTGTTCTGATCACAGCCTGACACACATTTCCTCCCACCCCTTGCCCTTCCAAACAAAAACAGTGCACTGAAAATTCTTCTGAAATTGTGTACCCTTCAGCTCCTTTGAAGAACTTGTTGCTAGGAAACAAATTTGGAACATTCTCACCTACTGAGAAAAGTTTTTACCACTGCCTCACATAATGGGTTCTTCTTTGGCCACAAAAGTATTAACAAAGAAAATTATCTGTCTATTACTTGACAGATTCATTGGACAAGAACTCTTCATTTGGGCAACATTTTCACAGCAATATCATTGATTACTTTGAAAACTATTCAGGGATGTCCTTGAGACTACATTAGGTATCTATTCAATTCAATGTTACTGATCATTTTTCTTGAGGTACAAAATAAATCAAGCAGTTAAGCATACTGTGGCAGTGTGCTTTTTCAGACCAGAGAGTTACATAAAAAGACACCTCTGCTTTTTTAAAGCTTATTTCTACAACAGACAAAGAAAAACCTGAATTCTTAAAGGAGAAAGAGAGGCCTTCAAAGTATTAACTCCTTCACTGAATGCTTATGGAGTGCCTACTATGTGCAAGGCACTGTGCTGGGCCCTAATAACACATCCCCTCCCCTCGTGATTAACCTCTGTCTGGCTGGAGAGACAACTGGACAGTTTAGAGGGATTGCATCACAATGTAACACAAAGTTACAACAGTGGTCAGTGAGGAGGGAAGGTGAAATTGGGTAATCAATCCAGACAGAAACGTCAAGGAAGTCTAATTTGGGGAAGCATTGAAATAGCATCTGGTAAAAAATTCATATTTAATAATAATAACAGTTACTATGGAGTGCTTAATGCATCAAGAACCTCCTAATGTACTGAGTAGTTTATTCCTCATAGTAACCCTAGGGAGATATTATTCTTACCCTACAGCAGGACATAAGAAGGCAGATGGCGAGTGTGGAGCAGACCAAGCAAGGGAACATCACTGAGTGCAAGACCCTGGGCAGGAGGAACTGGCTCATTTGAGGGACCACCATTTGTATTATTTGCATATACTTTGGCGGAGTCCATTCTCCCACCACACAAGGGTCTTTAAGAGATCATAAATGGGGATCTTCTTATGTGGATCTTAGAAGACTTTAGCTAGGGAAGCCTAGTCTCTCTGCTCCCACCTCAGGGGAGATGTGAGGTACATCCTGGCTCTGCCCTGTGCTATGCCCACCTCAGAAGATCTGCATGGCCAGCAGGTTATCCTCGGATCATGGTAGGACATGTGCCTGATTCAGTAGCAAGGTTCATACAGAACAGACTTTGCCCGAAGCCCTTGGGACACATTCTTTGGTCCCTTTGCTGAAATCCACTTTCATATGAACTGTGCTGAACACTGAGGATATATCTCTGTCTGTGATCTCTTCTAAGAACATCTTATCTTGAAACCAAGTGCTCAACTAGGGGATTCTCCATACCATTCATTGATCTTAACTTCTCACCCTGGTTCTTGTGGTTGATCCCATCATGTTGTCATCTGTAACCTACAATTGATACTCATTAGAAAATAAGATCACTTAGATTTCTGAGTGTTCTATGCTGATCAGGATATCTGGTTTGAGTTGTCAGTTATTTAAAATGTTTATGGCTTGTAAAAAGTTGCATCAATGCAAGTATAATTGTATAATGTAACCTATAGAGTAAAATCTCCTATATACCTATTCCTCTTTATGATACACAATAATCTAGTTCCTATATGTTCAAGATTATGAATTTTGAGATGAGGTGGCTACTGCCCTCTTATTCTGAATTTTGAATTAATTCTATCTTATGTTAATTTTACTTATTTGCTTAATGCTATGGTAGGACTACCTATTCTCTATCCCACTTATTCTCAGGAGTATAGGTAACCACTTAAATTACCTGTGAAATTAATTTAAGAATGAAGGTTTTATTTAAGATAGAATATGCCAATTATCAGGTGATAATAATAATTTATGAATAGTGTATCTCCTCTTTATCAAGTGTTCTTTAAAAGCCAAGACTATGTGATGAAGGCATAGCGATGTGATGTCAAGAGTTGTAGGGGTTCTGCCCATGGCCCCCACTCTGGGGACAGAAGCAATATCAGAGGGCCAGGAGTTCAAGTCTCGATTCTTCCACCAACCTCCAGTGTGACCTCTGGCCAATTATTTAATCTCTCTAAGTCTCGAGACCTTCATCTACAAAATAGAAGTAAGAATAGCACTGTACTTCTCCTAATATTGTTGTGTTTATTGGAGGATAATACATATAAGGCATTTGGAAGAGAACTGGCCCAATCCTAGTGCTTACTGTGTGACAGTTATGTTGTCTTCATGAAGTCCAAACTGAAAACTTATTGTACAAAGAACTGTACCACCCATTGGATTAAAATATTCTGTACTAGTTCCTTAAATGGTTATAATTGGGGGACATGACCTCTTTTTTCTCTGTGGGTTCTGATTTGACCCCACAATGAACTCAACTTCAAAAAGTGATATCAGATTGTTTTTCATGACTTCTAATAATTTTGCTCACAGTAGCTTTTTAATCCCTTGGCCTCACTCATATTTTACTAATTTTATAAACACTGCCAATGGCTTCTCCTATGGTACTGGAATTTGCTGCTTTTTGTTTTTCCTAGCCTTGACTCTGTGCCTTTGCTGAGGCCTTGGTGAACCATTCCACTGACTTAGCATGTTTATTTATAAATGACTCCTTGTGTTTTGATTTCTTTATAACTTTTTTAACAGTTACGAATATTTTTAATTTAAATAAGCAATTTTCATTATCAAACATTTAGAAAATATTGAAAAACCCACTCAAATGAAGTAAAAGAACTCAGAACTGCACAGATTTATTTTGAAGCACACAAAGGAGTGAACGCTTTGCCCAACACCCCCATTTTCCAGAAGTAATTCTATCAACAGCATGTGAGGGTATCCTTCTAAATATTTTTATGCTTATGAAAGCATGCATATATAAACCTTTATCCATACATATGTATGTCATGAAAATTTTTACAACAAAAACAAGGTCGTGCTAGATAATTTTCTATAAGTTATGCTAGATAATTTTCTATAATATGCTTTTATTCTCTTAATGATATTTTTGTGGACATTGATTCCAAGTCAGTATATAGAGATCTTATTTTTTTAGTGGCTAAGTAGGAATCATTTATGGACATGTCCTAACTCATCCTACATTCACAGATATTCAGGTTGTTAGTAATTTTTTGCAATTACAGTGGGCTTGTAATGACCAAGCATT